CCCAGGCATGGGGCCCTCTAGGGGGGTGATCACCCATTCCATCTGACCATCCGTAGCCCCCAGCTCTGAGCCCTAGGAAGCCGCTGTCCAGAAAGTGCCTGTCTTTCTCCAGATCTGACCTTGAGATCACGTGGCCTTGCTGTGAGCAGACCTCCCCCCAGGGCTCCTGGTGAATCAGGGCTTCTTCACCTGCTTTGTGCTATGGAACCCACGGGTGGACACCCTTCTCAGAGTAATGTTTATAAATGTGTAAAATCAAAGGAAACCAATTATATTGAAACGTAGTTATTAAAATATTAAAAATGTAAGTTTCCAATATGGTAACTTATATATATTTTTACAATGTATTAAATGCTAAGATCTAGGGGAAGTGGAGTCCCAGGAACTGCTCTACTTCCACAGTGATGAGCATAAAGGATGTTTCCAGATGTCTGCACCAATGGTGTATGGTGATGTGGAAATAACGCGGAGGGATTGTGGTTTGTTGTCTTCTTTCTTTTTTTTTATTTTTTCATTTTTAAGTAAGCTCTACACTCAACATGGGGCTCAAACTCACAACCCCGAGATCGAGAGTCGCACCGACTGAGCCAGCCAGGTGACTCTGTTGCCTTTATTCTTAATGAAAGAAAATGGTCAATTTCAGGGCGCCTGGGTGGTTCAGTTGGTTAAACGTCTGCCTTCGGCTCAGGTCATGATCCCAGGGTCCTGGGATCAAGCCCCGCATCGGGCTCCCTGCTCAGCGGGAAGCCTGCTTCTCCTTCTCCTGCACCCCCTGCTTGTGCTGTCTTTCTCTGTGTCAAATAAATAAAATCTTAAAGAAAGAAAACGGTCAATTTCAGCTAGAGGTTGATGAAATGCAGATGTATTATTTTCCCCGTGCAAGTTCATGAACCCCTGAGTTCTGCCCATGGGCCCTTGTGAAGGGAATGCTAAGTGAAGGGGAGCCAGGTAAGAGAAGTGCTGAGTCTGAGAGGAGAGAGGCTTACCACAGTCCTAACCAGCCCACCTCCTCAGAACCTGATTAAAATGTAAATATCCAGCACAGTGTGTTACCAGAGTCACAGAATCACAGGCTTCCAGAACTGGAAGGGCCAGAACCCCTTTTGCAGATGCTCCCTTTGAGTGACCTGGCTCTTGGCCTCTGCTAGCACACCTGCAGGGATGGAGAGCTCACTCTCATTCCAGGCTGGATAGCTCCAACTTCTCTGAGCCATGTGACACAGGGATGAATCAGACCCAGGCTCTGCCCTCACAGCTAGAAGGTAGAGAAAGACAGGGACCCAACTACAGCTAAAATGCTTGCTTTATTCAATAATCATTCCCTGAGCTCCAGGGAATGGCTCTGCCAGGCCAGAGGTAGGCACTGGATCTACTGAGACTTACTTTCATAAAGTATTTGTTGGGTGTGTGCTCAGGTACTGGGCTCAGTACTAGTGTACTGGGGGTGACATGGACATGATGCCTTCTCTCTGGGGAGGCAGACATTAAACGAGTAAGCACACAAGTCAATATGTAATTGCATTTGTGATCATGGCTGTGAAGAAATGAGCAGGAGAGACTCAGAAGAGTGACTTCAGCTGGGGGAGAAAGGAGGTCAAGGAAAGCCCCTTGGAGAAGAGTGACATTTAGGATATGACGTGGCGGATGGGTTGGAGTCCGCCAGGCAAATAGGAGGGGAAGAGTAGTGGCCCTGATGTGGGAAAGAGCTTGGCTACTCTTAGGAAGAGAGAGGGGGCGCTAGGGCGAGGTGAGGCTGGAGAGGGGCGTAAGGGCAGCTTGTGGGGTCTTCAAGCCCATGCTAAGAAGTTTGCATATTATCTTAAGAGCTGTTGGAAGCCCTTAAAGGGTTTCAGCAGGATCTGCTTGAATAAATAAAACAAGGTATCCCGGAGCTCTCAGGCTTGCCACAAAACATTCATGAGATTGAAATACTATGAGAATGAGGGAAAAAAGCTTTTCTGTGCTCTAAACACCCTTCTCCAATGTGTCTCCCTGCTTGTCCTCTCTCTGCCCGGATGTCCTTCTGGAGCTGTCTTTTCTGCTTGGTCCAGCAATTCAGCTAACTTTTTTCCCTTGCATCGCCTCCTCTAGGATGCCTTCCTTAACAATTTAGTCGTCTGTGCTTCTCTACAGCACAGCCCTGCGCATGCCATGGGCACTGTTCCCAGCATGGCTGACTGTTTACATGTCAGTGTCCACCCTCTCTTCCTCCAAACCACCCATGGAAGGGGGCGGAAGTGGGGGGCTGGAGGGAGGGGAAGTTGCAGAATCTTTAGCGCCAAACTGGCCCCCTCCCTTCCCTCCCCAACCTGGCTGGGATCGGGGCTGGACTCTGCCACCTGCTGGCAACAACTAAAATGGCAGGCAGGTGGGGGTTGGGAGAGAGGCCCCTCCTGGAAAGTCTAGGCCCACTTTGGCTTTTCTGAAAGGTAATCAATCACACAAGGTCTAGCTAGATGGAGGACCTGTCCAAGGGGGCCTGATGATTTGGGGTGGCAGAGCTGGGCTGGGACCAGGAGGGAGGAACTGAGTGTTGATGGAGCAGCAGCTCAGAGATGAGGACACAGAGTCCAGCCCTGTGGAGCTCCTGAGGCTTGAGTCTAGATCTTGGGCCCACACCAGAGCAGCAGAGGGCCTAATTTGTTACCATGGGGACCCAGGGCCATGTCCATACAGCTGGGGAGGTGACCCCCCCCCAGCTGGATGAGGACACGCAGAGAGCAGAGACCAGCCTCAAAGCCAAGTGTCCACCCACACCCCCCTTTTCCGGAACAACTTGTTTTGCTCTAAAGCTTGGGACTTTGACCTGGGAGGTATGTTTTCCTCCTGTTGATCACCTGATGTCCTTCCTGCTCATCCCCCTCCCCCACTACCCCAAACATGGCCCCGGGTGTCCTTGTCTTTCCCTGTATTCTTTAGGGAAGGGGGGGATGCTTGGGCAAGGGAGGCAGGACCTGACACCCTGGGACTGATGGGAGAGCCTGGGCTACTTTGTGGGGGCACTTCTTGGGGGGGCGGCTACGACACTGACACAGCCAGCTCAAATCGGATCTCTCCTTCCTGGGTTTCTGGGACATCTCACTCCTCTGAGGTTTCTTCCTCCTGCTCTAACTTGCACCTCTTCCTTTTTAAAGACCCTTATCATTGGGGTTGTGTCCTGGTCCCTCACTTCTCTCCTTTCTCCTGCTCTCCTCTTGCCACACACACACACACACACGCACACACACACCCCACCACCACCACACGCGTATACACACCAAGCACACCATACACCACACATATACACCACACACACACTCACACACACTCACATATATATGCACCACACCGTATACCGGACACCACACAGCACACACGCACTACACACACACCATAAACACCGCCCCCCCCTCCGGGAGACCATACATTCCCGTTGCCTCAGTTACCAATGCTGTGCCACGCGTGTCTCCCAGCTCTAGCTCTTTACTCCAGACCCAAGATCCTGCTGCCTTCCTAATGTTTCCTTCTGGAGGGTCCAGAGGCGCCACAAGCATAATACATCTGAGCCCGCAGCTCATCATCTCCCGCAGCCCTTCTGGAAACTTGCTCCAGTCCCTTCTGAGGCACCGGACCTCACCCTCAGCAGCTCCCTGCCCGTCCGGCCGTTCCCCGCCAGTCACTGCGTCCAGACGCTGTGTTCTGCCCACTCCATCCCCTAACTAGAGGCACAGCCACGGCCCTGGGTGTGGGGCTGCTGTGGCAGCCCCCCATGATCTCCCTTTCCAGCATTTGCCCTCCCCCTCACTCTCCACCCTGGGGCCAGAGGCATTTTCTCAAATGCAGATATGCCCATGTGACTGCCCTGCTTAAAACTCTCCAAGAAGGCATCCTGATGTTTATTAAATTCAACTCCATTCCTTGCATTCCGACCGGTGATTCCCTGGCTGTTCATTAACACGAATGGTGCCTACTCTCGCCAAACTTTGTGCCAGAAAATTCTGAGGACGCCAAGTTGGGGGTTAGGGAGGGAGAATAGGACATATACATATATGTGTCATTCAAGTCCAAGCCAAGTTCCCCTAGATCACCAGAGGCTCCCCGTCTTTGGATGATAGCAAGCACGCTGCTCTCGAATGTGCATACACAGGAAGCAGGGATGAGGCGTGACACCTGACCGCTGCCACTGGCCGGACCATCCTGCAATAGAAAGGGTGGCCCTCAAGGTCCCGTGAACAGCAGCTTGGTGGCTTCTGGGCAGGGAGGCTGTGGAGGGACTTCCAGCGTATGCCCTGACTTCTGGGGACCCTCCATCTCAGAGACTTTGCCCCAGGATGCTGGGTCCTTCTTTCTTGGTGTCTGCGGAATCAGACTCTCGGCATCTCTGGCTTCCTGTACTCCTGGGGAGGGGTGAGGCAAGGAGATCCAGCGTGACCCTTGGCCCCGGGCCTCAACAGGTACTTGGGTCAGTCTTAGTTCCTGAGCTGAAGGACCAGATGGACTCCATGTGATCCTGGGGTTTGAGGGCCCAAGGGTTTAGGGCCCCAGATTAGAACCTTCCCCTTGGGGATGTCTTTGCCTCCACAGCAGGGCTGGGTTCACCCACTTGTCTCCCTGTGATGGTGGAGGTGGATCAGAAGGTACGTATAATGGCCTCTGATCAAGACTGGATCTTGTCCTGGGGAGCTTCCACCCAGCTTCCAGAAGCCCCATCTGGGGCCGAGAGGAGAGCTGAACAGGACCAGGGCAGCTGGGCAGGGTAGGGAAGGCTGTGGGCGGGGCCCCTCGGGTCCTCTGTCATGATCCCCACAGGCGAGGGCAGGGATGGCGGGTCAGAAGCCCCATGGGCTGGTCTGGCTGAGGAGGGACAGGTGAGGGGAAGAACAGGAAATGGGCCGGGCCATGGGGGAGGGTCAGCTTGAACCTTACCCTAGGCCCTGGGGTTTTCCTCAAGCTCCTGGCCGACAGCAGATTTCTTAATGCCACTGTCAGCCTTCCCAGACAGCCCGCCCACAGGAGCAATAATGTGTCACTCCTCTCCTAAGAGCCCAGCCCCGCTGCCAGGAAGGGGGAAAGCTGACACAAAAACTGGGGAGGCCTGGGGCTTGGAGGTGAGGCACCGACTCTCCTCCCATCTTCCCAGTCTGCAGACCTGCTTTCTTGTCCAGCCTTTGAAAGATGACCTCGCATGCGAGCTCCAGTGGGCAGGGCACCGACCTAGGAGGCCAGGCCTGGCAGCTCATTACCATGGGAGGGAGGGCAGTTTCTCTCCACCTCCCTTCCTTCCTCCCTCGCCTCTTTCCTTACTTGCTCCTCTCCTCCAGGGCCAGACTGAGCCCAGGCGGATCACAGGCAGACGCTGACAGACCCCACAGCAGCCCCAGGAGCCCAGATACCAGCAGCCGGGGAGAGGGCCTAGAAGCTGCCTGCAGCCATGTCGGCTCTCGTCCTGCTCCTTGCGGTTTTGTTCACTGCAGTGCCGCCTACCAGCTGTCAAGGTAGTCCAGGACTGGGGGCTGCGGTGCGGGGGGCTGGGCTGGGGGCTGGTAATGCAGGGGTGGATGGGGTGGTCGTCTGGCCTCCCTCACCACCCTGGACACCTACAATTGGGAAGAAGCAGCAGGGACTGGGCTTGCTGGAGGAACCTCCAAAGGCAGAGCTCTGAGCAAGGCTTCTGTCTGGGACTTGTTTTCCAGGAGTGAGGAATGCGGGCAGCAGGGGAAATGTAGAGACTTGGACTGGAGACCTAGAGGAGTGAGGCCCAAGCTCTAGGAGCAGGAATTGCCTGAGAGATGGTGGGGTCCTGAGGACAGGGGTTCAGGGGCTACAAGGGAGGAGGGAGCGGGCCCGAGGTGCCCCTCATATGGCCGGCTTGTCCCAGGGGCGGGGTTGCGCTGTTAGGGCTGTGCCCATGTCTCTGGCCTAAGTCCTCATTGTTTCAGCTTCCTGGGCTCCGGTAGGGGACAGTGCCCCAGGGTGGCCCCCTCCACAAATCTGAGCTCTTGTCCCACTCTGCCTCTGTCTTGTTGTGCGGCCAGGAGAAAATCACTGCCCCTTTGTGAGACTCAGTTTTCTCATCCATAAAATGAGGACAATAAAGCTGCCCTGCCTACCTCCCAGGGCTGCTGCCAGGTGAGGGCGTGGGAAAGCCGCACACCAGTGAGGCACCACACCCCCAGATCTGCCGTCCGCCCTGAGCTGTGCGGCCGCATCTGCAGCCCAAGTCTGGGGCTCTGTAGGTGGGATTTGGGTCCAGAGGGAACTGGCAGAGATGCTCCCAGGGTACCCCTCCTTTGCAGGGGCCCTGAGCTGGCACACAGGTCTACTTCACCTCTGCCTCCCAGTCTCTGAAGCCCTCTTGGAAACCGCAGATCAGAGGGGTGGGGTAACTTGTGTGGATCACACAGCAGAGCAAGAAGGGATGTAGCCGGGTTCACGAGCCCCTGGCTCCGCCCCCCCCCCCCCGACCATGTTCTGCCCCTGGCCCCTGACAAAACCCAAAGGCAGTGAAACAAGAAAGGGTTTATGTCAGTGAGGCCGATGCCGGGAAGACGGCGGACTAGCGTCTCCAGGACTGTCTCCAAAGTGCCAAAAATACTTCCAGGTTTATATAAGAAAAGTGGGGGGCCAAAGTAGGCGGGTCCATGCAAGTGGGCAGTGAAGGTCAGGTCAATCTTTGTCTTGGGGTCTTGCTGGCTCGGGGCAATCCTTCTTGCCTGAAGGGGGAGTTTGGGTTTCCAGCAGCACAGGCTTTGCCCTCCAGGGCCTTTTGCCCGAGTTAAGAGATAAGCCGGAAAGAACTTCATCAATGTGAAAGTTTGAGATCACCATGGAAGGACTTGCAGTCTTTCAGGGACAGGGCTCAGGTCACCTCTCTCCTGCCGCAGGCTCCGTCCCTTGTGCTCTATGTTTACTTCAGAGCCACATGGACCATGGACAGAGGAGCAGGGACCCGGGTTCCGTGGGTGTCTGGAGGGAGTTGGCTGCAGGGTCTGGAGGAGGCAGGGAGGGGGCTTCCAGGTTTTGAGCACTAAACCCCCCATCCTTGAGTAAACACGGAGGAAACAATGGGTCTGATCCATGGTTTCTTGGGGAAACAGTGAGTCCAAAGTCTGCTTGTTGGCAGGTATGGAGCTCAGGGTAACCACACTGATCTGGCCCTAGGACGGAGCTCCCGGATCCCTCCCTTCTTCCCTATACCTGGCAGGCTCAGAGAGAGCTCAGAGAAGGGGCAGGGCCTTCACTGCAGCAGGAGAGCTTTAGGGTAGACTCAAGGAAGGACTTCTGAGTGAGAGTGAGGCAGAATGAAGTTTTTGATGCCCAGCCTGGGCCCCTCAAAATACAGGATGGCACTAGGGATGCATGTGTTTTGGCCTGGAGACAAGACCTTCTGGGAGCCTCCTGTTGGCCTCTGTCCCCTCCTGAGACCCACCTGCTACTGCGTGTCTATTCTGTGCAGGTTTAAGCTCTCTCAAGCTCATGGAGCACAGTGATGCCTGGGGGAGGGGAGAGCCCTTTGGGGCTGCCTGTGGCAGAGAGCAGAGATTTGGGGAAACCTTGAGGGTTGAAGGTGGTGTCAAAGGTCAAGGGTCAAAAGGTAAAGAAGATGATGGGGGGTGACTCAAGCTGGTCTCTGGCCTAGTCCTGTAGGCACCCAGCTGGAGGAGATAAAAGGGGCTCAGGTTTTGAAGCTTTCTTCTGGCCCCACGACCTGGAGGAGAACTTGCCCTTCTGCCTTGCTTTTCCAAAGGTGTTCTGTCCCACCCCTCTCTCCAGGCACCCCCACCTAAAGCAGCCTTGCTTGTCCTATACTCCCACGCCCTACCCAGTACCAGGGAAACCTTCTTACAAAACAGGATCTTCCAGATGCCAGCCCAGTCCTATCAGCTCTGGCTGCACGCACCTTCTGGGAGCCGGAGAGAAGGGGAGACAACCTGGGCCGCCAGGCCAGCTGTCCAGAGAGCTGCCCTTTGGTCCCTGGGGCCCAGACACTCTGTAGGGGACCCTGCATGTGACCCATGTGGAGGGGTGGGCAGGGGCTCAGGGCTGTCTCTCCTTGGCACCTCATTCCTTTTTTGAATTCCCACTTTCCAACTGTCATCCCTCTCTAAGCTCAGTGAGGGGTTCAGGTGGGTCCTCCTTGCCACCCTCGCTCCCCCCGAATGTCTCCTCTGGTCCCAGCGGCCGGCTGATGGCCTCCGACACAGGCTCTAGCTCCGAGGTCCCTCCCTCCCCTGTTCTATGCTTGTAGCCCCCACTGCGGCAGAGCCTGCTACAGCACCCCACTCCCCTCTTTCCAGGCCTGGGGAGCCTGCAGCCCTGGCTGCAGGGCCTAATCGCCGTGGCTGTGTTCCTGGTGCTGGTCGCAATCGCCTTTGCCGTCAACCGCTTCTGGTGCCAGGAAGAGCCGTGAGTGCCGCCCGGGGGCATGGGGTCTGGGCTGGTGCGGGCTGGGCAAGCCCCGGGCCCGAGGCACTGCTCTGGTCGGGGTGAGAAGGGCCTCGGAAGCCCAGCGTCCAGTGCTGTCACTGTGTGGGAGTGACACCGAGGCCGAAGATCTCCGGGACCGGAGCTGAGGCTCCGAGGCTGCCAGACGGGGCTCTGTTGGCCCCCACAGCTGTGCTCGTTCCTGGCGAGCTTCCCTCCCTGAGGTCTCAGTGTCTCTCTCTGTAGCGTCAGGACACCGGCCCCGCCTGTGATGGGGGCTGGGAAAACCTCTGGGAAGGAAAGTTCCATCTTTCTTCAGGGTCAGGCGCCATACCACATGCTGGGGTCCAGGGGGTCCGCGGGACAGACACGGCTCAGCGCCCCCAGGCTTCCGGGCTGGAAAGCACGGGGCAGTCACCGTGCCAAGTACGGACTCGACGGTAAAAGGGAGTGCAGAGGGCAGTGCTGGGCCTGCCCGGTCTGGGGGGCCAGGGCCTGTAGTCCGAGAAGGCCTGTGAGTTCACGTTTATTCTGGGGGCCGACGAGTGTGGAGGAGCAGGTCTCAGGATAGAGCAGCATGGGCAAAGCATTGCGGCCGATGGGAGAGGGCAACGAGGACACTGGGGGTCCTAGGTCGAGGGGGCTGGGCTGAAATGCAGTCCACTCTGTGCCCCCCAACCCCGGGGCAGGCCGCACCTGCCGCTAGCTCTCACGAAGGGGGACTGGTGCCTGGGCGCCAGCCCAGGCCCCGCGCGGCCCAGTGAGGGAGCACAAGCGTTCACGGGTGGAGAGAGGCATAGAGAGGACCCGAGAGAGACTGGCGAGCTAGGCAGGACCTGGGCCCAGCAGACCCCGTACACCTGCGCCCCGAACTTTGGGCTTTATCCTTCGTGCAATAGGAATCCAGTGAAAGCTTGTGTGCTGGTCTTGGGATGAGAGGCGGCCTGAGCAGAACAACTCTGGCAGCCCTGGGCTGCACGCGTGGGGTAGGGGCAGGCAAGAAGGGCAATGAGGGGGGCTGAGCATGAGGTCAGGACAGAGTCTGGCCTCTGGAGGCAGCAGAGGGGATGCGGCGGGGACATGTCTGAGAGCTGTCCAGGGCGCTGACCCCCAGCAGTTGGTGGAGGGGGTCGGCAGCGGGCAGGAGGAAGGAAGGACAGGGCTGCGTCCCTCAGGCTGCTGGTGCCACCGCTCACGGAGACACGGAGCCCCCGAGGCCGATCTGGACGCAGCTGCTAAGTTAACTTGGGACATGCTGAGTGTGAGGGGCCTGGGTGGTGTCCAAGGAAGGGCAAGCAGAGGTCCCGCGACCCCGTGAGAGCGGCTTCCGGGTTGGCGGGGGCAGAGGCCACACTCACTGGGTTTAAACTTGAATAAGAGGCCAGGAGCTTTTTGTCAGAAGTGCTTCTTTTTTCAACTGACCCAGGCTGTGCCTTGAGTGGATGTGGACCATGTCTGCGCCCGGTGCCGGGGAAAGCCGTGTAGATGTCTGGGGCAGACACCAAATCCCGTTGGGTCTTGAGCTGAGGCCAGAAGGAGAACCGTAGAAGGAGGCCGGGCCATGGTCGGGGAGAGGCCTTGGATAAATCTTTTGCAAATCTCAGGCCGGGACCTGAGGCCCCCACCTTGGAGCAGGAAGGGCCAGAATCAGGCCACTGACAGGGGCCCCGCTGGAGAGAGGGGCTTCTGGTGAGAGCCAGCCTCTGCCCCTGGGCTTGTGAGGACCAGTGCGTAGGACAGGGCCTGACTGGACAAGGAGAGGAGGCCGAACAAAGAGGGTAGGGACCTGGGGAGCCCTACTGATGAGCCTCGTCCACAGGGAGCCCGGGGACGTGGTCATGACCGTTGGAAACAAGGCAGACGGAATCCTGGTAGGAACAGATGGAAGGTACTCCTCGATGGCGGCCAGCTTCAGGTGAGGGGTCGGCCCAGGGTTAACCACTCTGTGCTCCCGAAGGACCGGGTGCTTCCGAGAGGTGGGGGTGGAAGCGGGGGGAGGGCAGGGAAAGAAGGCGACTCATCTGGGGGAGGGCTCAGCGAAGAGAGGAGCTGAGGGAGGGGTGCGGTGGGGGCTTTGTGAGGACACAGGGCTCCTGGGGGACCGCCAGCTCAGCTGGGGAGAGGGTCCAGTAAGGGGATGGGACTGGAACTCATACAGAGGGGTGGAGGGGTGCAGTGGGGCAAAGGGACTCAAGGAGAGAAGGGGACTCAATGTGTGGGGCGGGGTAGGTGGGGGGGGCTGCTCAGTGGGGAGATGGGCTCCATGAGGGGGTTGTTCAGTGGGGCTCCAGTGGGGGAAGGACGCAGCATAGGAGAGAGATGGGGCTCAGGGAGGGGAGGGGTGCTGAGAGGCCTCCAGTCACAGGGGCACCTGGGACCAGACATGGGTAGGGGAACTCCCTTCTGGCACTGAAGTATACTTACTCTGGAAGATACCGCCCTCACAGGTGTAGGATAGCGCAGGGAGAAGGGGATGGCACAGAGGGGGTGATGACCCCTGTCATCCTCTTTCAGCTCCAGTGAGCACAAGAATGCCTATGAGAATGTCCCCGAGGAAGAGGGCAAGGTCCGGAGCACCCCCATGTGACCCCCACTTGCATGTGGCCCCCAGCCCTGACCCCACGTGCCTGTGATGGATGCCCGGCTCACCACCCAAGCCGCTCCTTCTCTGTGCAGGAACCTACAGTAAGGGGCCCGCTCTTCCAACCCCACACTGCCCACCTTCGCTTGAACTGTCACCAGCCAAAGCCAGAGCTGTGTCCAGGTTGGGGCTCAGCTGGGGCCCTAGGGTTTCCTGGCAGGTCTCCCACCCAATTCAATTCAGAAGACCCTTCCGAAGAGGACAGTCAGCTCATCACCTCCCACCCTGCCTCACACCCTCCCCCTCTAACTGTGGAAATGGCTCTCATTTCTGTGAAATAAAGATGTTTTGTATTTCCAGGCCTGATGTTCCCAGGGCTCAGAAACAGTCCCTCAGGCTTACAGCCAGGCCCAGTCTTGCTTTCTGAATCATGACAATCACCTTCCAAAGCTACTGTCATGGTAGCTTTGGAGGATTACCCAGGAAACCCTCTCTGGGAGGCCCCTTGGGGCCAGGGAGCTCACCCACTCTACCCCTTGTTCCAGGCAGAGACCCTGCTGCCAGTGCCCCTCCCCTGACCTACCCTTAACAGCCGTGATTCTGGGCCCTTCCTTGTTCAGTACTGATACCCCTCCCTATCCTCTATGCTGCCTGGCTTTGTAGGTGGCTCACTCAACCCTTACCCAGGCAGCTCTAAGCCTGCCTCGGCTGGCCTTTGAGCATAAGAAGTTCTGAGACAGAGCTTGGGCTAGGACTCACGAAGCCCGGCTTTGAGTCCTTGTCCCCTGCAGACTTATTATGTGACTTTGGGAGAGCCACAGTCCTCTCTGAACTCAGCTTCCTCTCTGGGGAGGCTTTGGCTAGTCTCACTGCAAAGCTGGAGTAGAATCATCCTCACCAGTGCCCCTGATTCCCGGTCCTGGGGGGTGGGGGTGGAGTCAGGGAACTGGGTCCCAGGGAGAATGAAGCAAGAGGGAGTGGGGAGGAGACACACTCAGTGGGCTGGCCGACCCCGGAGGCCCCTCGTCCCTGTGACTGTCATTCTTCTGGGAACAGAATCTGGGGTGACAACCGGAGAAAGACCCAGCCAGGGGCGCTCCCAGGTGCAGAGGAGTGGGGCTAGGGGGAAGGAGGCAGTCCACCTTGCCCCGGAGACCCCCCTCGGTCAGCTGCCCCAACCAGTGACGGCCCCCTCACTTCCCCGCTGGAGCCATTGTTCTGCTGTTCGAGGGTTTCAGCCAAACGTTCCAGGGAGGCCCCGTCTAAGATCTGATTTAGCCTTTCTTACCCCACTGAGGTCTAGTTTGTAGCCTGCGGCAGAGGGAAGAGCCCTGTGCAGAAGGAAGGCAGGGTCTTTGCCCCAGGCCTACCCTTGTCTGCTGTGTGACTCAGGACAAATCGCCTCCCCTCTCTGAGCTTCAGCTCAGTGAATTGTGCATGTGCTCATGTGGGCAGATGCCTTCTCACCCACGGCTGCCGGTTCCAACTCTGCATGTTCCTTTTTCTTGGCTCTGCCAAGGTTCCTCTTCCTCTAGGAGGTCTTCCTTGACTAGACCAGAAGGCAGAGCCAGGGGGCCAGTGAGCCCAGCCTCTAACTTACTGGAGGAGGGATGGAGGCTACTGGAGGGCCTCTGCTAAGGGACAAACACCCTCTTCTTCCTTTTCTAATCTCCTGGTCTGAACCTTTTTGGCTGCCTGGATCTGATTCTCCTTGCACGAACCTCCATTTCCTCCCACTGCTGCCCCCAGTTGTCCCTGAGGGGCTGGGGGTGGGTTCAGGTCTGGCCCCACACGCCCTCCAGGGTAGAAAGCAGAGCCACCATCCCTTGGCCTCCCTCACCTGTGAGGCTGCCCAGCAGGGGCCAGTGGCAGTCACTGTCCTGCCTGGTTCCTGGGGCAGGCCACCCTCTCCCCTGCCTTGGCCTCTCGGGGAGCCTCCTCAGCCCTCTCTTCACATTGGAGGAACCAGGATGGTGGGAACTCTGGGGTCCTTGCAGATGCTGGGCTGGCACTGACCTTCCCCCCACCCCATGTTCCTGCCCTGGCAGGGGGCAGGGGGCATGGAGCTGCCGGCCCCAGAGCCCCCAGTCCTTATCGCCTGTTCCCACCTGCCAGCCGGGCCAGAGAGGAGGGAGGGAAAGGAGGCTGGGCCCGGGCCAGGGCGGTGCTTAATGACCCTCCGGGGCCTAATCTCAGGCTGGCAGCCGTGGAGTGGCTCAGGCTCGCTCCTGGAGGAGGCTGATAACACACCAGCTGGGCCCCCCACCATCTATCGGGGCTGCACAGCCAGTCCCAAGGGGGCAGCCATCAGGGGGCCTGGGGAAGGGAGCCTCTGGGCCGGGGCAGGGGTGGGGGTGGGGGTGGGGGTGGGAGTGGGAGTGGGGGGGATGGGGGGTGGGGAGGCAAGCCCCTCCCCCACCAGCCATGCAGGGAGGGTATTCTCTACTCCTTGAGTGACAGACAGGGGGAGGCACCCGGCCACTGGAGCCAAATGGCTGGTGGGCCTTCACGACTTCCTGCTCCCACCCCGCCCTTTCCTCCCACCCAGTCCCTTGTCTCCTTCTTCGCTCTCCCAGCCTTTATGGATCACTGTCTCCCTGAGTGCACCTTTTGGTCTCTGTTTTTATCTCCATCTTCTAGCCTCCTCTTCCTCCTCCCTCCACCTGAGCTAGTGCTCACCATCTCCTCTTTCCCCTTGCATCCTTCTCGGTCTCCAGTGGGTTCCCCTGCGCGCCCCACCTGCCCAAGCAGCCTCGTGCCAGTCCCTTGGCTGGGGACAGTCCCTCGCCCTCCCTCATTGGCGTCTCACTTCTTCGTGTGGCGTCCTCTCGCACTGATCCCTCCACCCGCTCTCTGGGCGGAATGCTCAGGTTGCGCAGGCCCTGGCTGTAGGGCCTGGAGATTCTCTTACCGCTAGAGGACATTCTTGCTCATTCTGCTTCCTGGGACAGGGCTCGCACCTTTCTTTTTCCTTCTCTACCTAAAACGTGTGAATTTCACAGGGTCGCAGTATAGGTTACGTCCAAACTCAGGCTCTGCCCAGGAACTGAGGAGTTGGAGGTAGATTGTCGTGCTGCTTACTTCAGTTAGACTCCAAGAGGAACTTCCAGTTGGGAGATGGTTTCAAAAAAAAGGGCTGTGGAATTCTATCTCGAGTGTCACCTGTTATAGGACAGAGTGCCAGGTGGTTGGAATGATTTTCAAGATGATTTCCCTTGGGGCACCTGGGTGGCTCTGTCGTTAAGCGTCTGCCTTCGGCTCAGGTCATGATCCCAGGGTCCTGGGATCGAGCCCCGCATCGGGCTCCCTGCTTGGCGGGAGGCCTGCTTCTCCCTCTCCCACTCCCCCTGCTTGTGTTCCCTCTCTCTGCTGTGTCTCTCTCTGTCAAATAAATAAATAAAATCTTAAAAAAAAAAAAAGGAAAAAAAAAGGTGATTTTCCTTATGCTCAGAATAACCTAAGCAGAAATACTGCTTCAAGGAGAGATCAGATCAAGACTACAGCTTCACAGAGCTGGTTCCCCCAGCTTAGGGTACAGGCGGGGATGGGAGTGCAGAGTGGCACTCCAGGGGTGATCCCAGTCACATGCGCTCTGCCTTGTTCCCTTGGACCAGAGTTCACAGGTGAGTCGGATAGTTGGAGCCAGCTGAACTTGCTCTGGGACCAGGGTGGGAGGCATCTGCCTCTCCTCCAGGTCTGGCTTGGGGCCTGGACCCTCCAGCTTGGCGCTCTCCTCCCCATTTCCAGTCCCCAGAAGTGCACACAGTGGCCAAGAGCTTGAGCTTGAGAATCATGCAGAGTCTTCTTCAAATTTCAGCTCTTCCTCATCGCTTGTGGACCGCCCAGCCGATCAGCTGCCCCACTGGCTTGCCAGTAGGCTGGCTTCTGTTGGGTCTTCTCTGCAGGGCTGCTGGGGGGAGACAGAGCTAATGTACTCTGTTATTGTACCTGCCACTGCCAGAAAGCCCTCCAGGTGCAGGGAAAGTTCCTTGCCCACCCGGGACTGGGCCTTCCTCTGGGCTATTCCCACCATCCCTGTGGTCTGTTTACTTGCCAGGCCTGGGAGCTCCTGGAGGGCAGGAACGGGGTCACTTCCCTCTGCATCACCAGCACCCGAGACAGGGCTGGACTCAGGGGAAGGGAAGCCCCTGGTGTGGTGAGGAAACCCAAAGGAAGGGACTAAGCCCAGTTGTTTGTCCAGGTGTATTCTGTCCATACCCTTCAGCACACATAGGTGCAGAAGAACACACACACACACATGCATGCACACGTACTCACTCTTTCCCGCTCTCTGATTGAAGGTCGTGGGGTCAGTGATGAGCCCCCCTGAACATCCATGCTCCACCTGCCTTGTCTGTCTGCCCAGAGCCTTGGCTGCCACCTGGTGGCTGCACGCTCAATAGGAAGGGCAGATCAGCAGAGCGCTTTTAACTTGAGCTTCAGCAGGGCTCTTCCCCCTTAAGTGCTGTACCAAAGGCTTTCCTGTGGCAAGGCTCCAGGGACCCCGCCCCCAACCCCGCTGCCCCCCAGGTTGTGCCAGCACTTTGCTCATCTTCCTGTAGGCTTCAAGGGCAGCTGGCCTCCAGTGCTTCCTCCTTGTGGCCCCAGAGGCCAAGTCTGTGAATACCTTAGGTTGCAAGCAATACTGATGGGGGCCAGGCTCTTGGGGGCTTCGTCATCCTGGTCCTGATGACACACCTTCCTTTCTCTCAGAAATGACCTGGGAGCCCAGTGGCTTCTGCCCTGGGGTGCTATTCCAGAGGATAAGGGATGACAAAGTGTCTGGGACATGTTCCTTGGAGACCCCCTGGAAAAGCAAAATAGAGAGAGCTTGATGAGAAAGAGAGGAGGAAAGAGAGAGAAACAGAGAAGTCAAGGACAAGTTCCAGTATTGTTCTGAGCATGTCAGAAGGTGGTGGAGCCTGAGACATTGCGCTGGGCTACGCAGGCCACGTCTCCACTAACCAGGCCCTGCAAGCCAGTTTGGGCCTGTGTCTGCATGAAGGGAAGAGGCGCCTTTTTCCAATTCTCACTAAGGCCCCATACAGCCTAGTGAATGGCAGGTACCAGCGGACAAGCAGGAGTGTGTGTGGGGTAAGGGTGTATTTATGGGCATGTGGAATTGAGGAGCCTCTGGGCATCTACAGGGGGTGGGCTGGAGGGCAAAGTGGGTGCACAGTTCAGCTCTGGCTCAGGTGAGCGGTTAGCAGTCGAGCCAGAGATGTTGCCTGGGAGCTGGATGCCCACTGGGAGGTTAAGAGCCAGGTCTGGGTCAGGCAGCCTGGATATAGCCATGCTTAGACACGTAATACCAAGTGACCTTGAATAAGTGAACTCAACTCACCAAGCTCCAGTTCATTC